ACAACAGCAATATCCGCTCTCGGCCCGAACAAAAACGTGCGCTGAAAGGAGCGCCGTGCATTTGGCGGTGTCACAATGCGCACTGTAGCAAAAGCGTGCCCATCGCGGCAAAATGCATGTGTACTTTTCTGCGCAAGATGACGCATGGGGCGTGAAACATCTTTAGACTGTACTGCTCTATTGTATAAGTCGCATTCTTTTGTAAAAACACGCACACAATTTCGTTTTACGGTCTCGAGATTGCATTGGCCTTATCTCAAAGGGATGTGAAGTAAAACGACACACAGGGCATAAACATAGACTCCCCAGCGAAAAGCGAATGCATGCAATGTGGCCAAACCAAAACTTGAGCCCTTTATTGGTACTTTATGGAAGCCTCTACAGCCCGGTGGGAGGCCTGCTCGCTGTCATTCATCAGTCATTGCAGTCGAGATGAAAGGCAGGACAGATTTTAAAGGCAAGATTATGATGCATGAGAAGTGCAAGTGACGTTTTGAAATCACTGACAGCACACGAACATAATATGGGATGCAACGAAGCACTTGAAGCGCGAAAGGGAAACGAACAAAGCGGGTCTATGACCTATCATTTTGTTTTTATCTTAGCAATGCTACCCCAATTATACGTGATGCTCACACAAAATCCCTAACAACATTACGTGTATGACTGGTTGACACTGAATGCATCCTAAAAGGCAAAGGAATTCAAGCAGTAAACGCATCCAATATCCAGATTTCCCATCTCAATGCGCTTTACAGTCAACCTTTTTGACCGCCTCAGAGAAATATTTCTCTCCACTTCGCTATGTGAGAGCTCGGGTTTCTGCTGCTTAGCGAAGGCAAAATGTGAAAATAGCTTCTGTTAAAGTCGCTGAATTCCGCCAGCTTGGCAGACTGTTGAAAGGCCGGGTCAGGAGCGTGTCAACGTATCAACGCCGGAATAGCTCGGAACCTACTCGAGTGGAAATAATACTAAAGCTTTAAGTTGCAATGTTTTCTTTGAATTACTCGTTTTGCCTCTCTGTTTTACGCAGAACCAAGCCAATATAGATTAGGTTGAGGTGTAGTAGAAACCCACATAACATGCGAGCCATGGATGAATCTATCACGTGTGCTACTGATAAGGAAGGGATCGCGTGATAATCTGAATGAATTTCTGCATCTAAACAAATATCCAATCGTCTGCATTACCGAATAACTACATATCCTAGCAGCCAATCCGACACTGAGTCCCTCATTCCTACTTATCACATTACATACACTCCAGTTACATTAGCCGAGCGGAAAATAACAATCAAACATGCAAACCATTCCCACCGCTTCCACAACAAGCCTCCTACAATCGAGTGCCTCCGTAAAAAACGGACACTGCCGAAGATGTACGGCAGCTTGTATACTCCCTCAACTAACAGTGCAATTTGAAGCGCCCATACTCAACAACGCTGCCGTCATTTGTCACCGTGCGGGTGGCAGTGGTGACCTGGCGACGATGTGTGATCCTCATCACGTTCATCCCAACAGTCACTTGCCGTCGGCGCCATGGCGCCACTCGCGCTGCTGGCATTCATGGCGCGCCGTGTGACGCGATCGCCGCAGCTCACGCGGGAGACGTGCGAGAGTGGTCTTTCCTGTCACATTTGGCATCCGCCACGATGACAACATGGGCCCCTTGGGGGGAGGGGGGGGGGGCGTCTACCCACGATGACAACCGCATGGGCCCCATTGGTTGTGTCGGGTTGGAAATGTCGCCCTGTGTGTCCCACGGATTTCCTGAGGATTGGCCGGCCACCTGCGGACCACACAGCTTCTGTCAGAGTAGACGGAACAGCCTGTAGGCCACGGCTGTATCGATGCCGGCAGACCGCTTGTGGGTCTCATGGGTCCGCCGGCATGGCCAAACAGCGGAGCCCACAGGCATGGCCGGACCAGGGAGACCGCCTGTGGTCCAAGGAGCTGTGTCCAAGCTCTGACAGGTCACCTGTCGGTCCCACAGACTCCGCAAGAGAAGGCGGAGTATATATATATATATATATATATATATATATATATATATATATATATATATATAGAATAGAAATAGTACCTCCTTTGGATGGGTCACAAGGGCTCAGTTGGGGTAGACCAGTCATTTGCGGCTTCTGGAAGCTCTCTTTGACCAAAAAGGTCGCCTGTCGGTTGGTTTCGCGGGCCTTGACAGAGAAGGAAGACCATTGGTAGGCTCCAGATGCTTGATCAGAATATATAGACTCTTGTGCGTCGTTGAAACTCCGTCCACGTAGATGGGTCTTATATGAGTTCCACGTGCTCTGTGAGCGAAAGCAAGCCATCTGTCTGTGAGTTTCAACGATTTGAGTATAGGCGGCAGGCCGCTTGTGGTTCCCAGGGGCCCGGCATAGCCTATGAGACGGCGGGCCCGCTCCGGCTGATCTCGAAACACGGCACGAAGCTCACCGAGTTGCCGCTGACACAGTTGTCTACCCACCAGCCCTCCCACCTGGATCTGCGGCTGGGCCAACCGCTCACATCTCCCGTATACGATCCCATGACCTTTGATCTCTCTCTTCGGCAGGCTGGGTCCGGGCAGACCCCAAACGCCTGGTGGTCCTTTGTGGAAAAACGTGCTTCTTGTGGAGTCGTCACTCCTGTGAAGCAGCTCGAATGAACTCCTCACACACCGTCTCCGAAACCCAAACGGGTGTAGCTCGCATGCACTCGTAATGGACCTATCATCAGACCCTACATGACTAAATTTCGCGTGATTTCGCGGACTATCCGCCTCCTGGGCACACTGAAAGCGTTGGACCACTCGCGGCGGCTGATGGCTACCTCTGCCCGCGTCTGACAGGCGCCTGACATCTCCCCTCGGATCGGACCGCCGTCTCTCCGTCTCCGCTGAGCCGATGGGGCGCGAGGTGCGCACCGTGGCTTCCGCTCGATGGGCCGCCGGCGCGCCGGCATCGCCAGCGCCCAGGGATTGTGTGGAGGAGGCATCGAGTGTCGTTCAGCCGCCTGCCTCACACGTCTGAAGGCCACGCGGGAGTCAAGCCGCGAGGGGCTGCCCGAAGGCTCTCTGGGCTGGGTGTGTCTGGTGGGGCCTGATGGGTTGATGGGGTCTGGTGGTCTGGTGGGACCTGGTGGTCTAGTTGGATCTGATAGCCTAGTGGAGTCTGGTGATCTGGTGGGGTCTGGTGGGGCCTGGTGGCTATCTGGTGGGGTCTGTTGGTCTGGGGGGGGGGGGGTCGATCTGGTAATGTTGTGGACTGCCGGCCTGATGGGATCTCGTGGTCTATGTTGTGGACAGATAGTCTGTTGACGTCTCGTTATCTGGTAAGGCCTAGTGGTCTGGTGACGTTGTGGGCTGATGACTGGTGGGGCAGGAGAGGCTATTCACTGACGCTTAAATGAGGGTTTAGGTGCCAACGCCAATTCTGTAAAGAAATCACGCTATTGCAGCTTGGTGTGCGCGATGCCGGTGAAATGTCAGGGTTTTAACTCGGATGAATGCAGCAACCTGAAATGTTGGTGCATTGGCTGGCAGCTGTGCTGACCATGGGTATAACTGCCACTTGGCTGGCAGCTGTGCTGGCCGTGGGTATAACTGCCACTTAGCTGGCAGCTGTGCTGACCATGGGTATAACTTCCACTTGGGTCGGCAAGGTTCGGACCTCAGTGGCCTCGGACCTTTTGCGCAGCCTTGAGACGTTTACAGGGTAGCAAGGTCCATGGTGATGATTCTGATCAGCAAGCATAGCCAGCTGCACCAGGGGCCCTTGAAACCTGTCTTCAGATCTCGCCGTTGTCTCCTGTTTACCTCGCAAATGCCTGAAATATTTCATAGTTGTACGAAGCAACGGCACCTCTTAAGTGCCAGTCAACACAATTTTACTACCTCCCGTGCTTGAATGGAAAACGAGGCGAGTCCCTTTGCATTGCTTGCACAAGCCAACATATGCGTATGCATAAGTAAAAAATGCGTCGGATGCTGTCGGAAAAAATGCTGTCGGAGCTCTAATTCCCTAGTCTTGATCTCTCTGACATTAATTAACATCTGTCCCTAAGATCACCAAATGTGCAGGACGCCGATTGCTTATCAGCCGGCTTCGAACAAGTATCTACGCGTGCACTGATTCCCAACGGAATATGGGAACCTGATGAATTTGTTAAGAACATGCACTGATTCCCAACGGAATATGTAAACCTGATGAACATGTTAAGCTGATAAAAACAGTACGCCGCAAACATGAAACGCCGTGGTTTAGCCTTCGTTAAAAATCCATGGAGGTAATCCTATCATGGTCTTCAACTAACCTCATCGTGCAATTATGACTCAACAAGCTCCACTGGCCCCGGCACGCCGTAGCCCCCGACCAGGGAGGAAGGCCACTGGGCCCGGCACGCCGTGGCCCCCGACCTGGGAGGAAGGCCACTGGGCCCGGCACGCCGTGGCCCCCGACCAGGGCGGAAGGCCATTGGGCCCGGCACGCCGTGGTCGCCGGCCAGGAAGGAAGGCCACTAGACCCGGCACGCCGTGGCCCCGACCAGGGACAAAGGCCATTGGGCCCGGCACGCCGTGGTCGCCGTGCCCACTTCCAGGGAGGAAGTGGGCAACGGATATCACGATGCCACTTAAGATGCACGTTTAGAATCGGTATAGCCAACTACGGAAATGATGCAACCTGTACAAAACATGAAGGCGATCTTTACCCCCCCCCCCCCCCCCCCCCGAAACACGTCGACATTGCTACATCATTTAAGAATATTGGTATAATGTAAGGCTTTACTGAAGTAAGCGGAGAGGCGAAGGACTGTAAGTGACCTCGGATGCCCCTGCTCTCACGCGTGTGTCACACCACCGATGCACATGCTTCTGCCCGGAAAACGACAGCCGTACTGGCGTTCGGGCTCCAGCGTTTGAGATTTGGCTACGACTGCCATTCGGCCGTCGGAGTACTCACACTGGACCTTGAGGCGGATGTCGGCTTTGGCCGTCGGAGTACTCACACTGGACCTTGAGGCGGATGTCGGCAGTGCGCAGGTCCGAGTCCTTGGTGTTGACCTGGGTGGCCTTGCAGCGGTAGATGCCCTCGTCGGCTCGGGTCACGCCCCGTATGATCAGGCCTCTTGTCTCAGGGTCGATGTCGAACTTTTTATCTGCAACAAGACGGCCGAGGTGGCTGACCGCGGCAGACAGAAGGGTGCCTGTGTCGCCTCACCGGCCCGTCGTGACAGCAGAGGCTGTCTGGATACCCCCACTGAGGCCAGTCTAAGCCACGACGGAGCCTGGCGATGTGCTGACTTACCAGACAAAGCAGGCATTCGCTGAGCGGACCAGTGAGTGTGATGAGAGAGAGGATTCCCACGCGATTAGTGACTCCATTCCCCTCTTGGCCCCTTGCTCCGAACACGACTCCCTTGCCCGCCACGAGGCCCGACACGACAACACCGAGATGGCCGGCGCCGCCCGCCACCTCGTCAGCAAGCGCCCACCGTCGCCCCGGGATGCCGCAGCCCACCGCCAGCCGTCAGCCTCAGCTGCCGCATCCGCCAGGTCCGCCTGACAACCAGCTCACCACCGCCGGTGTTCTTCGAATCGCCGGCTGGCCAGCGCTCGCGCTAATTCAGGTCTCAAGCTTCGGACAATCTGGCCGGCGGCGAGCCCGACTGCTCAACGGCTGTTCCCGGCCCCGGACCGAGCTGCTCTCGTCCGGGGGCTGTTCCGGGCGGCGCCGAGACAAAGCCGCTCCCCTCCAGCTGCTGCACGCCCAGAGCCACAGCCGGGGCGTGAGGAAATGTTTTGCCCCGGTTTGGACAGTGTTTGCAGGTGGTGGGATGGAATTGAGGATGCAATTTGGAGCCGTCGCGGCCGCTTAACCGGTTACCTGAAAAAGTCGAGGCTGGTAACGAAACTGAAAGGATCAAGCTCCATGCCGGCTGGTGCTACTTTCAAAAGGCTAAACGTCTTTATCGCTCGGCAATCTTTTGGATGCTACAACCACACTTTGGATTAACGGCCCTCTCACCAACGCATCAAGTGCCATGCATCCCCATCTGACTCACAAACAGGCCGCAACTTATGGATGGGCGGGGCCGGCAGGAAAGGACAGACAAAAGAGGAGCGGACAGCCCACGAAAGAGCGGCGTGTAGAAGATTAGGTGGGGACACGTGTAGGTCACGAGTAGGTGGGACGGACACTAATGATGGAAAGACGAGGAGCGGAAAGCAACGGCTGCCTCAGAATGGCCACCTACAAAAGACCGTGCGCAAATGCAAACTGGCGAATTGTTTGGAAGCAGCTTGACAGCAACCTGTAGTAAGCACAAGGCACTAATGGCTAACAAACAGACGCCATAACATCCCAACAGCGAATAAAATGTCAGCAAGATTGCTGTCGGTTGTTAGAATGTGCTGAAGCGTGAGACATCTAGTTACCGTGAAAATGTGGGCACTAAGCCAATTTCAAATGTAAAGTATTCCAGAGAACACAGCATGCTTTTCTTCCACGCACAAGGAATAATGATGCATTCTTTACAGCAGCGCCATTCGCACATGTCACCAAACAGAGGCAATGAAAGTCAAGTCAAGGTCAGATACACACAGCGATGGCCCTTGCAGCTTACAGCATCGCATGACCCCAAAAACTCATAGCTTGCCGGTCTCAAGAATTCAAGCTCGTCAAAGAACACCACAGCCCCTCACAGGAGGAACTTAAATAACCGCTTGTCTGTCTTTCTAATACTGGCATAACTTGCAGCAAGTCCTCCTTTTCAGGATGCATAATTGTTTGAAGCTTCAGGGACCAGCTGATCGTCTGAGGATATATCCTGTCACTCAGTGAAACATGCTGATCACCCAGCCTAACAAAGGTCTCTGTCATGCTGACGGTCCAAGACACCAGTGATCTTCGCAGGCAAAACGCTACCACCGTTGTTGAAAATGTTGGTTTCTTATGGTTCTCTTGCATTTGCCTGTGATGTTAGGAATCATATATATATATATATATATATATATATATATATATATATATATATATACGCAAAATGCCAATATAACACGCCATTCTTTCGGGCTGTTTGTGGCCGGAGCTGTAGACGTGACGTCATTGTCCGAACACGCCGCGTCTAACACCGAGGCATGTCCGCCGGCCAGCGTGGTCGTGCCAAATGCGGCGCGGCTGTCAAATGGGGCGTCACTGCTCGCCGCCATCGCGTTCGGAGACGTCAATAATCCTCCTACGCGTCGGACACGCTGCGTCCACAAATAGTCTGTCGCAGCGGTCTCTGGAGTGTCGCAGACAACACGCCACGGCTTGGGCACGGCACGCACCAGCCGGCGGGGCTCGGCTAAATACGACTGGCGGCGAAGGTCACCGTTGTCACCGCTTCGGTGACCCCCGTCGGACCTCCGCCCTCAGCGAGGGCGCCCACCAGCCAACTGCGGGTTAACCTCGTGTGCGCGGGGGAAAGAGAAGCCCTCAATACCGTTCGTCATCTGCTCATGAGGACCTGTCGGCGCGGACGCCGCCCGCTCGGAGCTCACAGATGGCGGTCTGCTGGAAGGCCACCTCAGCGCCGGATGCTTCTCCGGCGTCGGGCGGGCGGGAGGGAGGTCGGCTCATACCCGCGGCCGGTCGGGAGGGTGAGTAGGTCATTTCCTTCTCTGACCTGTCGTGCGCTGCGCACTTCCGCTAGTAAGCATCCGCCGCGCCGCGCGCCGCACGCTCACCGCACCCGACGCGCAGGCGCGTGGAGGGAGTCGCTGGCCCAGGCGGGTGACAGACGGGTAGCAAGTGGAAGGACAGCTGGGAACTGGGGCGTGGAGTTCGATGAAAACCACTGGAATGCGATGTTTGCCCGTCGCGTCAAAATTAAACACCAAAGAGCAATTTTAAACAAAGACCACACATTCGGACAGCGCCGAAATGTTTGAACACATTTCACCAATTTGGACGCAATGCCTACCAACAATGCTTGTCCTTGACCTAAGCCGCTGATTAAAGCCCAACTCATAAGCGGCCTATTGCAAAACCGAATGCGCAATGAAAACAAACTTGCCGGAAAACCAGCCCCTCCTGTATCAAACTGGAGTCAGACCAGCCCAACATAAACAGCTCTGAAAAGCTTGGACCGCCCGCCGCCTGACCCCATATCTCCGAGAACGGTCGGATCCACCGGAAGCACACCCCGCCGACGCCGCCGACGAGCGCGCCGCGTAAACAGCCACCCACCAGGGCCCAGCATCAGCCGGCCAGCGCACCGACCACGATATGGATCGGCCGGAGTCAGCGGCGGCGGCACGAGGCGGACCCGCGGCCGCCACCTTGGGTGTCACGGCCGCCCCCCCCCCCCTCCCCCGACCCTGGGGGAAGCGCTGACGACGGGCGGCGAGCCGGTCGGCCGACACGCGCGGATGCTGGAATCAATAGACAGCCGGCCGGTCCCCGGGAGGCCGCCAGCTCGGCTACGCGACGGAGCCGGCGGCCGAACCTGACCGAGCTGCCCGGCTATAAACGGCCGACCCGCAGCGCCTCTGGCGGCCGCGGCGGGAAGCGTAGGCGTATTCCGCCGCGCCCGCGGTTAGGCAGCCAAATGGCGATGGCCGGACAAGGCGGGACGGCCGAGATCCCGTCGTTCCCGACAATGTCGGGTCCTCTGTGGCAGGTTCAACGACGTGTGAGACACCACGTGCAGTGCCATGTGCCGCAGACAGAGGCGATTGCATTTTAAATATGCATGTGAGGAATGTACTGAGTTGACACATTACGACGCGGCGAGCAAAGCCATCTACAGTTAGGAGGCTGGGTTGGAATTCCTGGCACGGACTAGATGCTGCATACGTCCCGGCACGTAGCGTCAAATCTTCCGCGTTAAACAGCTCTTGCTCCACTCGCAACCCTGGCGCGTGAAAGTCAATAGTCAGAATATTGCTGTACATCCAACTCCAAGAAACTTGGCGTTGCAGTGTAATGCTCATCGTTAATTTTGCTGTCAAGAATGGCTTAATCTCACATTTCCATGGGTCAAGCTTTACCTGCTGAATCATAGCCCAGGTGTAATTGCATTACGTACATTACAGATAAAGTCTATTGCGCTGTACAAAAAGCCGGCAAGGATATTATAATATGCCGTACTCTATGGTGTATAGTGTAAGGCAGATTTTGCAAGACAAAGGCATCCGAGCATATCGTGTTTGCCTGTCGCTCACATGGTTGGTGTTCCTGCTACTATTGCTGCTTGTGATTCCGCTGCTACGTCCACGACATCGCTTAAATCAAACGATAGAGCTGAGCTAAATTCGATTTGCTCGCTCTACGGCCCCATTGTCGATTGCTGCATGATAATCGAATAGGAAGATTGGATTGGAAACCCGATCACAACACAAGATGGTGGGCGCTTCGTCTCGCCGTCAGCGCAGGCGGAAGCCGAGCCGGAGTGTCGCTGCATGCATCAATACTACTCCACCGTCCCAAAGGAGCGACGGCGTTCGTGCTCGGCGAGAGACGGCCCCAATGGTCGATGACGACGATCTGTGGATCGTGGAGACCGTAATCTCGATATTTTCGGTAGATTCTTGAGGTGGGATACAGAGGCAATGAAAGCAGGCCTTAGGCCGTGGCATTGGCATAACTTCCTTGCAAATTAAAATAAGCTGACGCGTCAGCTGACGAAGACACGAAACCGGAAACACGTCTGACCTGACCTAACCTGACCTAAACTGGGCAAGTTTTGAAGTTCGACTGAACGTGCCCGTTATTTGTCTGCCGTCAGATGTGCACGGCGCACCTGCCACCACTGGCATGTCTCCAGCGGGGCTGACAGTCGCGTATGAGGAGCCGGCACAGCGGCCCGCACATGACTGACGCGCCGACAGCCGACCGCGAGCGAGTGACGCCTCTGGCAGAGGTGACCAATGAGTGACGCCTCTGGCGGAGGTGACCAATGAGTGACGCCTCTGGCGGAGGTGACCGGTCGCCTTTCTACCACGAATGTCGACGCCACGTGGCATGCCAACTTCTGAGAGGCATGAAGGCCTGACTGACGACTGAAAGGCAGGGAGAGAGATAATACACATACAGCGTAGTACTGCTTTTATACCAAAGTGCAGGAAGACTGAACGTTCATCACGAGTTGCACGCAGTTTTTATTGTTTTAAGAAGAGTCTGGCGGCAAACCGATAACTTTTAAATTATATTGGCTTCTAGAAAAGCATCCTAGCGATCGACCTGCTGTTTAAGTGATGGAAACGGTCCTACCCAATGCACTGAATGTGTTGAAAACGGCTCTGGCACGTGCTGGCATGTGTTGATGTGCACTAGTTTAAACAAAACCTTTTATATCCATGACTGCCTGGACCATAGAGTTTTTGTGCACAGATACGACATATTCTAGCATATCTTACAGGTCTGGTAAAGGAAAGAACTGCAAAGCATGAGCTCGATTTTCCAACGTGTACCCGTGCCATATCATACATTATCTTGAAGTTCAAAGTCGCGTTAAGCATTTACCCGCCAAGGGACAAATAGCTTGCAAAGCCTTTACAGCATGATAAGACTTCTCCATCACTGCATCTTGCCGTGACTGGTCATTCGTGAAGTTGATGTCATTGTGCTCATTTAATTATTACTTGCACGAATCGCTCCAGCTTGAAAATGCAGCCATGCAACCCTTTCCCTGTGCTTACATTCCAAACCAGCTTTTTCTCGGAAAACCATTTGCCTTAATAAATCCTGAAATGACGAAAGTCACAGGACACAAGAATCACAACAGCTCTCTTTAAATGTCTTGCAAAAATGCCTTCGTCGACGCTACTGAGAACCTCAGCTATTACCACGAACGCCTTAGCCGTCGATTCCAAACCCATTTCACTGAAATATGACGCCATCAATACCGCGTAGAATCAATACTAATGACATTGGCCATGACCCCTCCTGCCTTCGACATCCAAAAGACGGACGACCCAGTGCAGAAGGGGGGCGGGGGGGGGGGCGTGGGCAGCGCCCGTTTCGCAAACTAGCACCAAGATGAGGTGGGAAAGGTCAGATGTCAGGATAGATCAGAGTAAATCCGGACCCGGTAGGGTGCTGGAACGCTTGTTCCAATAGCCCAGAGCAGATTTCGTGTACGCGGGGGCTTTAAGTGAGCAGTGAGCTTTGTTGTAGACAAAGTACCCATCTGAGAAAGCAGGGCTAAGGACCGCGTGCATTAGTCCCTGTCTGCGAGGGAGACTGAGCTGGTTCAGTTCATTATACAGGCATGGCTTTGGATCTCTAAATTTGTAAGAATCAGCCGAATTCGTCCAAACCTATAGCATGCGACTCATCCTCACTTGACTCCTTCCATTGCTGATCATTTGGATGTCTCGCGCACCCACACCCGTCCAGGGTGCCGGCAAGCCTGTCCACCTGACCTCGGTGCTGGTCGGCCAGCCCGCCTGCACTGTGCCCCGCTCGGTACCGCTGTGCCCGCGTCGCAGCGAGCCATCACTTCGCGGAAAGAAACACACGAAGTGACTATCACCTGCACTCGGCCGTCATCACAAGGAAAGAAAACAAGTGGTGACGATTCAGTTGATGATGGTCAAGTGATAGTGATTCAAATTATCTAAGGCGTGCGTCCAAATAAACCATTCGTGTCCTCGTGATAAAATACTACGCCCTGACAAGACAAACAGCAATCTAACGAATTTCCAAAGGAATGTTTGACAGCGATGGTGACTGATTGTGATGCATCCAATAACACAAATTATATTGTCAAGAGCTGGTCCCTTGCTGGTATTTTCCAGCCGTCCATAGCTGGGAAGTAATGAAATTGAGATAACTGCTTGAATGAAAAGGTATTTGGAGCAATGGGAATATATTAGCAAATAATGACAGCTATGTTAGGCCTCGGTTCGTTGCATGCCGTTTGGCTCAGTCTCTTTGCATTATTCATACGGTGCGTGGATATACACATATTCCGTGGATGATTGTCCAGTTATAGGTGTTCTAGGGATACCGGCAGCAGACACAGTACAGGAAAAATATTGCGGGATACCAATACCATTTACACACCCAACTACAAAGTCCACACAGAAGTCTACCTATGGGAATAATTGACAAAGTCCATACAGAAGTCTACCTATGGGAATAATTGCCGAGAGCGTCCCATAACGCCCCTTTGGAAGCGTTGGCTGGCTGTGTAATATGCCCATATTCAGCGTTCCGTTATAATATTGAGCTACTATCAAAGCTCCATCATCATATTCAGTGCCTAATTTTTCTACCGGGAAATAAACGCCTTTGATTTTCCTGCTGGTAGCGATAACTCCAGTGCATGTCTGATTGTCAACAACCGGCTGTTGGTGGACACGGCCACTCTGTTTCGCGCGTCACCAATGTGGGCATCATCACGATAATTCCTTTGTTACCTTCTCACACAATAGCTGCTCAGCTGCGGTATTGGTTTGTCAATGCCGGGTTGCGTTTCAGCAGAAAGCCTGTTTTCATCGAGGGCAGTTTGCAGTCGAGATCTCGCACGACACCAAAATGGCACCGTCATACTAGACCACTTACAGGTGTAACAACATCATTTCACGACTCATCAGCGTTCCAGCCTTCAATTTAAGGGAGCTCGCCTTCAAAGGCAAGCCTTCCACACAAATCGGGCCTGTTAAATCAGGAAGAAGGGCTTGCACAAGCGTTTACGCTTCCCACATGTGTGGATCACCATATTCAACACACAGGAGCTTGTAAGAGTCTACACCACTAGAACACACAACAGTCACACCATGGAGTCAACACCGTAACATCGGGCCGGCGCAGGCGGCCGTTCGTCGGCGCTCACCCTCTCCGAAGTTGAGGTGCTGGCTCACGCCCCTCCAGTCCACCTCGGGGCGGGGGTCACCAGTGACGTCACAGCGCACAGTGAAGTCGCTCCCCTCGGCCGCGAACTGCGTCAGCTGGTCCTCGTCGAACTGGATTGGCTCTGAAAAAGGCCGGCGAGGTCAGGGCGGCCGCGGCCGCGGAGAATGGCCGCGGGTCCGTACCGGCGTTGGAGACGGCACGTCGCGCGGGGAGAACAAAACGGTTGGATCTGCTGGTGCTGGACACATGATGAGTGAGATATATGTGACTCTACCGTCGCTGAGGACACGTTGAAGTAAGGTAGGCACGGGCGCTGCATGGGGACGGGCGCGTGCTTCACCGCCCTGGATAATGAAGTGTGATTGGGATATACATGCTTTGCCGCATCTGTTAAGGTTTCTGACCTTCGCGGCGTATGAATTGTGTTCGTAAGGTCTTGAAAGGGCCGGTTGAGGGGAGGACGGGGGGGGGGGGGGAGGGCGGCGTTCAAACCTGCTCTGGCATTTCTCGTCCTAACGCTCCTTTCACAGCCCTGGTGCGTGGCGAAGAGGCCGAATTGGGCGCAGTGCTGCCGACTGTTAGGAGTTTGACATGACAGCCCGAGGCGGCACTTATTGTTGTTGGCACTCGCTCACACTCGGTGTGAGTGACGTTCGGAAAACCACTCATTAGCTTACGCAACATGTCTAGCGGATGGAGGCAATTTGCGTGCCTAACGGCTATTTACAGAAGCGAAGAGACCGAGAGCATGGGCCCGTGGGAAATGACTGATGCGGAGAATAATGACGAACGCATCGGACGGAGCCAAAGACAAGGCACGCAATACAGGCCCAGGAACATGAACAATGCATATCTTGACCGAGTAAGCCGGCTGAACAGGCCATTTCTGCGTCACCGCTCCGCCGCCGGGATTGATCCGGACTGTGCCGCCATGATGACGTGTCATGCGGCGCAACCTACCAGTACAGGCACGGGGATGCGATATGTCAAATCCGGTTGCATCGACACGCAATAAGTCCCTCGCGACAGAACCGTAGTCGCTTTACACATGCATCAGGCTTTGTTTCATTATGAGATTCCAATGTCACGGAAAGTTGTGCACAACAAAAATAATTTGCACCAAGCTTCGGTCACATGGTCATGAAATCACAGGAATGGCTTTTAGTTAAGGAACAGAAACAACGCAAAGAAGGCGATATTTACAACAGCCAGATTTCCAGTTAATTATCACGTCTTTAGACACGCCGCGTCTCTAAACTGTACAGCTACCAGGCTAGCTGAGCTTATTGTGATATGCCTAAGACATTGTATAACTGCGACAAAATGTGCAAACGGCTCATTCCCTTTCCCAATTTCCAGACATACTTTCCAACATTAGAAATATCAGACACGGCGCAGGGTGTCTTTCAAAAATGCACATCAGTCGCTTTATGCACACACTGAAGACGCTTTAAATGTTGGATAAGAAAAATAGATTGTCATAACACGTCCGACAAGTCAGGGTTTGCATAACCCGTCAGCCTCAGTGAATCAGTATGATTTGGTGAATAAGATTGCTCCCTGCTTTTATCATGTATTTAGTTTGAAGTTAAAAATGGACAAAGATTAAGTATGACTATCTATGGAAATGATGCTTGTTTTAAACATCAGCATGGGAGATCATCTGCGAGATGTTATGTAACCGCATGTTTCGCTTAAAATACTATGGACATTCATAAATCATAATATATATATATATATATATATATATATATATATATATATATATATAATACGTAACTAGAATAAAATAAATACATACATAAATCTTCGTCCTTGCTTAAGAAGTCTACGAAGTACGCTTCGTGCGTATAAACGATGGGTGCCGCTCTTGCAATCAGATATGGGGAATGTTCACATCCTCCACACGGATATCTAGTCCCTGGCAGAGGCAATATGTGACGACATCGATAGCCATTCCAATAAGGAGCTGGGAGCGATACGGCAGCGGTGATCATCGATGGGTCGCAGGGGACATATCATCTAGCTCTCAACGCGGGGAGTATGAATGCTGGATCATGTCATGACGAAAGGCCAGCTTATTATCATGTGTATCATCACGTCTCATCATAACACTCGTATCACGCACAGTTACGGTGGTGCACAGAGGATAGCCGATTGTCGCAACAGGGACTTCCACGTGAAAGTACGGCCTTCTTCCGACTAATCTTGTTCGCCACTTCCTCACAGCTGGCCCACAAGAGGCTTCGAATTGGAGAAACAAAGCACCTTAAAGAAAACAAACTTCGGGTAGCGACGTGTGCATGGCTGAAAGCCGAACAGCTTAGTCTCTCTCGAATCTCAGCAACATCTTAACATTTCTGTCGAACAGTTGAGTTTAGTCCCTCTCGAATCTCAGCAACATCTTAACATTTCTGTCGAACAGTTGAGTTTAGTCTCTCTCGAATCTCAATAGCATCTTAACATCTCCGTCGAACAGTTTAGTTTAGTTCCTCTGGGATGATCTCAATAACATCTTAACATTTCTGTCGAACGGTGAAGTTTAGTCCCTCTCGGATTTCAATAACATCTTAACATCTCTGTCGAATAGTTTAGTTTAGTCCTTCTCGAATCTCAATAACATCTTGACATCTCTGTCGAACAGTTTAGTTTAGTCCCTATCGGATCGCAATAACATCTGTCGACGGCTGCAGCGTTGACTGGTAGAAGCGGTACTTACGAGGGGCAGCAGTTAAAGCAGTCATGACTAGGGTCCAGCACATTTTGGCCTCCAGCATGCATTTAACTGCGAATTGGACCAAAATTCAACATGCATTGGAAGTACACCAATGAGAGCATCAGTTTAATGCATCATCAAATACTGGATCCTTCAGACGTCTGCCATATCGATAATAGTGGATGTGGCAGCTTCTTCCGACACACCGCGGCGGGGCAGGTAATCCAGGATCTTAGCATTACCTCTGTCAATACGATCCTTCCGGCCGGAGGTGAGATCACATGGTTACAACGTCTTCACCCCGCTCTAAATAGCCCGAGGATAGGAACAGGCAACGACATTATGCCGGCGCTCAAGGCCATGACGGGGGCGGCAGGCGGAGCTGCTTTAGGCATGCGTGTTTGAACCCAACAGGTATTGTGGACTCAAGCGCGGACTAATACTTTATCAATGCAGCAAGTTCAGAAGCTTTTATGAATGTAAGTACACGAGTGTATGCGTGTTTTGTATCAATATCCATGCGTTATAAACATCAAAGGCTACCAATTTAGACCAAGCAGAAGAGATATGTTACTGAGTTTCTGCAAACCACACCATCCATATGTCGAATTAATTTAAACTATGCAAATGTTGAAATTCAATGAAAGCATATGACGGGAGACCAGAGTAGTCTTGGGCAGCGGAAAAACTTGATTAATGGCATTCCAGCCCAGTCCCAGCCCGACCCGACGCCGTTTGACCGTAACGCCATTCGAATGATCACATCATTGCGGCTTTGCTGTTTCATGCAATTTTCAAAGCAACGAACTGCGCCTTCTTGAAAGAATATTGAGATGACCTCCTTACAATGATTATAAACGTGATATTATTTAATTAAGTTGCATTTTCAGCACGCGCTCGGGTGGGGAAGGTAAAATTGACCCACGAAGTTTTTCCAGAATAGTTTCCGAACGGCCCAGTGTGGCCCCGCCAAATTTTGCATAGCTGTAGACAATCGAATAGCGGATCGTTTGACATTAAACATTCAAGTGTACCTTGCAAGATCGCTGACCTATGGCAGGTCAAAGTCAGACCATGATTTCGACGAAGACAATTTCAAGGGAATCCTTCAATCTGATCCAACAACGGAGTATTAGACGAAGTCATACATCTCTGGGATGCTTTCTTAGGCAACACAACGGTTGAATGAGCAAATAAGATTGACCAAAGGTTAGATGTGCAGGTCACACCAAGGTCAAAACCAACCCGTTTTGTTACTCTAGGGCTTGCTGTATGGCATAGTTTCTGGTACTCATTTCGAATTTATTGATGGCAGGGACCGTATTATTCATCTCCAATGGACTTCTTAGAGGTCAAAACAGGTCATTGACCTAAGATGAACCGGGTCAACATTTTGTTTTAGGAACGTACTGCCTAGCATAATATTTGTCACTGTCAAATGCAAAACTCAAAGCAATCTTATATGATTTTGGTCACCTTGACCTAAAAAAGGTCAAATAAGGTCACTGACCTTGAATGAGCATGACCTTTTGCTTAGAAACGGTTATCTAGGTTCTGGTGGCACTTTGGAGACAAGCTTGGAACTTGACCTTGTCTGAACTTTTTGACCCAAAGGCCAAGATCTGGGAACCTAAAACTTTGACCTAAGTAAGCTCACGTACAGGTCAACACACCTTGTAAATTTGGTGTCTCTAGCTTTCTTAGTTCCCGAGATCGCAGGGGTAAATTGCCCCCCCCCCTTCACCTGGGCGAAGGGCATCTAGCCGGTCACCCGGGCGCGTGTTAAAGGAATTTTTGGGCACCGACCTTGCTCACAGAATCGAAAAGCTCAAATATCAAGCGGACACCAGATGCTCGCCGGTGTCGACAGCGGTTTTTCACAGCATACACGCGATCAAATGACACATATTTTCCACACTTAAACTGAATATATTACAATAAATCAAGCGCGATAAAATACCCTAGCTTTGTACAGATGAAGACTACATCATTTTCCAGATAAAAGTTTCTATTTATAGAAGTGTCAGCCTGTGTATGTGGATTAATTTACAAAGTTTGCGATGGGGGTGCTCTCTTTTGCAAAATCTTAACAGCGAAGGGTATCATTACCCCGAATTTCATCGTTTTGGTGCGCAGAAAGAAAATGGTTACCAATGAAAGTCCCATGAGTTTTGTTTTTAGTGTGTAAGACGTGCTTGTTAACACGCTTTTCGTTTTTGTGAGGAATGCCGGTTCGTGGTGTGCCGGGGGGAAGAATGTGCGTTCTGATGAAGTGGTCAACGCAAGTCTGGGGTCACGGCAGAATCGATGCCATTTCGTATTTAAATGTTTTCTGTGAGACCAGTTTCAGAAGTAAGAAGCATACCTCTTTCTATGTTACTCACCTTATGGTTGTCAGGTGGAAGAAGCACGAGTAAGGTGTTTTGGGGTCAGTTGTGTTTAAGTTACGTTAAGAGAAATATTTCCATCTTTTACCATAGGCCAAACGCTTCACTCCTGCTTCTACGTCTTGCGAAGTTTGCTGTGACAGATTTTGGGTCCCTTTGGAAAGCAAATTGACAACACTAGGCGACAGAGTCACGGCTGATATATCGGTGCCATGTTTGGTTGCTTTCATACCTGTATGACCACTGTCAGTCGGTTGACTTGCTCGGTTTCCTGTCTCTCCATGGATTTCTTATCCGTTGCGCGCAGAAATGCTGGTGTACTCTCCTACGTCGTTGCCGGTGGTATGATTTAGCTCTTCAGGGGTGGTGAGCTTGGATACCAACTGCCGTTTAACCAAGGCATTGAACTCGTGCTCCAACCGCTGCTTGCCGTTCCCCATGGTCCGCTCAAAAACTTTTCCGCGTAAATTTTTCATCCAAGAGAAAACTCTGTCATCCATCTGTCGCAGTTCATATCCATGCCTCTGCTGACAGTGTTCCAGGTATGCTTGCTTTTGCAACGTGTCTCTAATCGATGTGTTGAGAAGCTTGGAACGGAACGCTGTGCATTCCCCATGAATCGTTTACTTCCAGGGAATATCCAACTGAAAGAAGCTTCGACATCGTTTATAAAGCGTGATATAATATATGATTTCCTATACGATAACAAAAGCCCTTCTCGTAGAATAACACCGGCGGGCTTCATTAGTGTCTTCAAAATATTTCGGCCCGACAAAAACGACTACTGCACTGGCAACATCGCAGGTTATTGCGTGGGCACGGCCTCGTGCGCTCGTTCAAAAACCACGGATCCAGCAGCTTCTAGACATTTTACATGATTTACGCCAGATCTCGGCAGACCATGCACCAAATGCACGCAACCGCTATGAAATAAACTGCGAAATGTACGCACATGCGCAGTCTACAAACCACCTTTGCCGCTCAACACTGTCCGATCCGACGGGACGTCAGCAATCGATCGTAAAGCGATCAATGTCGCGTTTTTTGAAACCGATCTCGAAAACAACCCGCTGTCGCCCAAACCGAGTGGGAGATAAGCGTAAAAACAACAGCAGTCCGAAACGCGACCCGGCGGGGATTTGCGAATTTCGTCGAAAAAAAATCAGCCCGTTCGCCGACCTGCCGCTGGCTATGACTTAACCGCGCAGTTGCGTGTTTGTACTGAAGGTCCTTCACGCAACATATATATTCCAAAGGCGCGTGACTGCGCACTGAGCAGCCGAGGGTCGTAGCAACACGGAACGAAAAACAATACGACAGAGAAAAGAGCATGCAGTCGTACCATCACACAGATGCGCTCTGCACGCATGAGCACACATGGGTTCAGGTGTGCAGAAGGTCATGCGCTGTGAAACGGAATCAATGGCATTTCCCATTTTCACTTGTATTGCCTGTTCTGTCAACAACGACAGTCCAACCTTTAGAACATCTTTCGGAAAACATAATCTGGTGAACTAACCTTAAGAACTTTTCATTCATACAAATCACAATAAGACGCAAAACGAAATCACTTACAGAATGCTACAGATTCGGATATTATGATCTTATTTATCTATTTTTGAGTCCAGATTAACGCGGTCAACATCTCAGACCAACACTGGGTTTCTTACTTCTCTTAACAACATTCCCATATTGCCATGCCGTGCACACTCATTTTCGAAGCCTTGGACGATTCTAGCGCACGAAAGGCAGCATTCAACATTGTGAGCTTCATGGTCTTTTTCAAAGATTGTTAGACTTCGCACACCACATGTAAATTGCGAATGAAGGCTTTCAAGAGGTGAAAACAGCCGTGCTCAGCACGTGATGGCTTGTTTTCTATTTTGGTCAATAAGTTACCATTGGTCTGCATAGTTTTAATCGGTCACCCCAACACTCTTTACCTTTTCGTAGCGGTAATGGATGGACCCATTAGGCTCAACCTCACAGCCATGAGCCCCGGTTTTTCAACCATGTTGTCTGCCTCAGCCAGCTCTGCTCGTCGTCTCAGCCATGGTCACCTCACCGCAACGTTCAAATGCATATGCGTGTTCGCGTCTTCAGACCCTTCGGTGCCGCGTGTACACGTAGTCGTGGTAGGTGAGTCGAGACTCACCCGCCGTCCGGGAGGGTCGTATTGGCAGAGGCGATGCCAATATCCCAATTACCGCCCCGCCATGGGTGTCGGAATCAGCTCTATATTAATATTGCAGACGTCAGAAAGTTCAATGATCGAGTGATACATAGAAGTGGCGCTCCCACTGATGCGCTTCCGATAGTGGCGCTCCCACTGATGCGCTTCCGATAGTGGCGCTCCCACTGATGCGCTTTCGATAGTGGCACTCCCACTGATGCGCTTCCGATAGTGGCGCTCCCACTGATGCGCTCTGATGGTGCCGCTCCCACTGATGCGCTTCCGATAGTGACACTCCCACTGATGCGCTTCCGATAGTGGCACTCCCACTGGTGCACTTCCGAAAGTGGCACTCCCACTGACGCGCTTCCGATAGTGGCGCTCCCACTGATGCGCTTCCGATAGTGGCACTCCCACTGGTGCACTTCCGAAAGTGGCACTCCCACTGGTGCGCTTCCGATAGTGGCACTCCCATTGATGCGCTTCCGATAGTGGCGCTCCCACTGATGCGCTTCCGATAGTGGCACTCCCACTGGTGCACTTCCGAAAGTGGTACTCCCACTGATGCGCTTTCGATAGTGGCACTCCCACTGATGCGCTTCCGATAGTGGCACTCCCACTGATGCGCTTACGATAGTGGCGCTCCCACTGATGCGCTTCCGATAGTGGCACTCCCACTGGTGCACTTCTGAAAGTGGCACTCCCACTGATGCGCTTTCGATAGTGGCACTCCCACTGATGCGTTTCCAATGCATATGGAATTATTGCCCCATTCGCAGTTTAACGCCCATTAGAGGCCAAACTGAGCTGGACGCTAGTCATGGACCATTTCAGCTGCAGTCTCCTGTGCATACTACCTGACACTAGACGAGGATGACAGCCCGAGTAATTATCTCACTCATCCGCGACATCAGTCATCCAGGTACTTCCATTACAAACGCTGCCACTTCCGAATAATTACGATTAATAGCATAAATAAGGGTACGTGCTCATACGGAACAGTGTCAAAGCCACGCACGCGATTCTCTTAGCATCTGCGTCAGCGCTACAGCCGGTAAAACACCCTTCGCGTAGCGAGTCAAATGCCTTGCGGGCAGTTTTTGCTGGGCGAGTCGCGGGCTGCTGCGGCAGCTGAATCGCCAGGTAAAGCTGATGGAGCGCGTGCCGTCTGCCAGCGCGGCACCGGCGTGTGGCCTGGCTGACGGAAGGACCGGCGGACGCACGCACTCCACGCAACACGCATCCGACGGGTGCACGCGTCAACCTCAGCTGGCGAGAACACGTGTCACACCCCTCTCACGCGCCGTCTGCACATGCCAGGCAGCCACGCGTGATCCAAGCACTAGGCGCCAACCTCAGGGGCGTGAGACCGTGTCAAATGCAGCTAACTTCCTCCGGCTGGCGATAACGCCGTGCATCGCTCCCGCGCCGCAAGACTGGCGCCACTGGTTGACTTCCGGGAATGGACGAGGGGTGGGGGCTGGGGGTGGGGGCATTTCAGTGCTATTATTAGCATGCCAAATAATATGTGCATACATGTACCCTAGCACATCATGGAAGAAATACAGGAACATCGGGCCAACGACATAATGAAAAAATCGCTGAACAGTTAGAAGTATTCACCTTCTATTGAAATGAGGTTTGGGCCAAAACTTCACTGAACATTTGCGGCAGTAAAGAGAAACATACTAGTGCAAAGAACGACGCAGAATGGATAGTTCAGGGTTGACACGACCATGAGAATAAACATGCTTAACTCGGAAAATCTTTTGCTTGACTGGGCATTTAAAATGCTGTCGGCCCCATCCGTTTAATTCTAAAAACGAAAAGCTAAGCCTGGCCTCTGTCCTTGCAAAATCCGACGTAGCCATCGTATTAGCCATGGATTGAGCGGATATTGCTCGCCGCAATTTCGTACAGTGCCGTCTTGCGGAACGTTTAAATGGCTGGGAGCAAGTGCATTTTTACACCCAGAGATGTGTTATAATTAGGGCTGACAAGTGTCAGCTTAACCACATGTAACTCTAAATTTGCGCACAGCAAAATAAGTGCACGCCGCGTTTTTGAAAAATAAATTGTAGAGCTAAATGAACACTTCCAAAACTGACATAACATGCCATCGTGCATGGATTGTGCCAGAAAAGCAGGACCGCGCCAGCTGTCCCATAACTTCTCTTGCTGCTGCAAAACACCGGCGCTCAGCAAGAGGTACTGCCATCACAGAGACAGCCCCAGACCGGTGAAACATGAGCTCGCTGGTGCCTGGTCTTCAAACATTGCCACCGCAGGAACATCCGTGGTCGAGGGGGGGGGGGACACGCGTGACCTGACCCGGCCCGCGCACTGTTTATGAATTACCGTCCAGTAAGGTAACAGTGCAACAGGGGCACTCGCTGTTTGTAAGGTCGGGTGCAATTTGTTTTATCCTTCCACAAAATAAAATGCGATGCTTGCTCAGCAGCAAAACATTTTTGAATCCACAATAAGCAAGCAACCTCTCCTAAAAACCCCGGAACGCAGATCACAGTGGCATAAATCCGAGGAGAAATCGGATTTCGGGGACAAGTTGGGTGAGCATTGCCAGCTGACCCCCAACCATTTTCAGAAAATGACACCCCTGCATATGCGTAAAATAAAATGCCACGACTGCTGGGAGGACGCGTCGCCGCCGTCTCCACTTCCCGCTCCCCTCATGCGGTGCCCTCCTCCGGTTCTGCGACCTCCGCGCGCACTCACTGAGGACCACCAGGTTGAAGCTGGTTTCTTGCTCGGCGCCGCCGACGGTGGCGCGACAGGTGTAGCGGCCACGGTCCTTGCGCTTGACCGGGTTCAGCACCAGGTCGACCCCCGTCCGGCCGTCGCCCCGGTCTCGGCTCGGCTCCACACGCACCCTGCGGCCGACGGCGGCGGTCAGCACCACCCACGCACGCACGCACGACGGACACGCACGTGACGGGTGGATGGGAAGGGACGGGGCTGAACGCACGCTATTAGCACAGTCAACACCTGCTAAACGTCAGAGAACGAGCGAATGGTACCAACGCAAAGGACGAGCACGCGGACGAACTTCATCACTACACCTGACGCATGGAAAGAGTGATTCGTCAGCAGGTAGCGTCGGGCGGTGACCTCATGGTCAGCCCTGTGGCAGCGCAAGACGGACGGTATCAGCGTCTCTCACGCTGTGAGCGCAGGATAAACTCTGGCGGACGGACTCGCAGACCGATGAATGACTGGACTGTTTAGCACAATGGGCGGAACGTGAGCGACGTCAGGCGGAGGGGGTCGCGCCATGAGTGGGCATCACAGAACGGAGGGGAAATGGAGGGCTCGTGAGACACACACACACACACACACACACACACACACACACACACACACACACACACACACACACACACACACACACGTATATATATATATATATATATATATATATATATATATATATATATATATATATATATATATATATATATATATATATATATATATATGTCAACTAAACTCAAACTTTTAGTTTTGTTTAGTGTGGCGTTTCAAAGCATTCGCACTCGACGGATGTTAAATTCACCCACTCTAAATACGTCTGGTTTAGAGCGGTTGCAAAAGCTGCAAAATGTCTCTGGCAGGTGCGGGGGAGGGGAAATGAAACACCATCAACTAGAATTAACGAGGGTTTGCAGCATGAGCTTAGGTTAATCTTCTGAGCACAAAAAACAACTAATAAATATGATACAATATGCCATGCTCAAGCATTGTTATGGCAATACTAAAGCCAATGAACACAAAATCCTATAGTTAGAGGAGATATAATGAGTTGCAAAGTAAAGACGTGACGCGTTGTAATAATTGCGACTTTTCGGACAGGTCTGCTACTTGGTTGGTTTCACGCAAATTTACATCGTATTTTTTTCTCACGCCCAGCAGGATGTGAACTGAACCTTGAAACGTTATCGCGCCATTGTCGCTCTCTTGCTTTCCATCCTTCATTGTCAGTCCTCTCCTTTATTGCGCTTTCATTGTATTTCCCTCATTCTCTTCCATCACCTTCTCCAAATTCATTCTCTTTCTTACCTTCTCCAACTCGTAGGATCATCACTCAGTCCAGTTACTGTTTTTCGTATCTCGCTTTGCTCTTTAGTTACATAAAAACAGAAGAACCATGCGTAAGGAACCAGTGCCTTAGCATGGCATATACCTAAGCATAACCTGTATGGTCCATGACAGGCACGGAATATGAGACGTGTTTCCAAGACTTATGTGGGCATGGGTCAACCAAAGCGTTAAACTATTGTGCGAAGCCCGAAGTTGAAGAGTTCAACAGCTCCATACTATCGGGAGGCCGGGGAAGCAGAGAAACCCACCCTGCCTAAATGCGGAGGTAAGCCCTCAGCAAGATAGGCTGCACCGGACCGGAGCTGTCAGTGGTCGGAGTTCGGTTTACAATGTCGTCCCTGGTCGGCTGCACCGGACCGGAGCTGTCAGTGGTCGGAGTTCGGTTGACAATGTCGTCCCTGGTCGGCTGCACCGGACCGGAGCTGTCACTGATCGGAGTTCGGTTCACAATCTCGTCCCTGGTCGGCTGCACCGGACCGGAGCTGTCACTGATCGGAGTTCGGTTTACAATCTCGTCCCTGGTCGGCTGCACCGGACCGGAGCTGTCACTGATCGGAGTTCGGTTCACAATCTCGTCCCTGGTCGGCTGCACCGGACCGGAGCTGTCACTGATCGGAGTTCGGTTCACAATGTCGTCCCTGGTCGAAGACCATGCTGGCTGGTGCGCTTGCCGCATCAAGAGTCAGAAACGCTTTGCGTCGGAGGCATTAACCGTTTCCACGAGGGCAATCCGTATGAAATGTTTTGAAACAGTTATGCTCCGAAAATTGTCCTCTGATATCTATACAATCTTAAGTGAATATGTCTCGCAATACAGACTTCTCCTGCCAGGTAAGCTGTTCAAAACAAGACGAAGTAGGGCGAACCTACTTGGAACATTTCTTTCATACACGGTTTTTCCGAAAAAATGAAACTTTTTGAAATGGTAAACAAAGTGAATTTCACATTGCCGACTCCCGCCAAAACATGAAATGTCATCAGGTACCAGATTTCACTACCAGACATTTTGTATTTCACTAGTCTCATCGCAACGACGAACTTGTGGAAGGTGCGCGATAGGAAAGACCTAGTGAGACTCTTACGTCACACTATGGTGCAAACGACTAATATCAGGCATCGCTAACCTGCATCGACCATCTCCTCGGCGTTATTAAGTCCTCCAGGCGTTTCGAGTGCACACCTCGGAAAATAGGAGCCTTCAGATTACCTTACAAGCGTTAGAAGGTAAGCAGCGCTTCTACGTCCGCCGCCGGTTGGGCAAGAAAACACCTAAGTGACAGGAACAGCTACCCTGCCACAAGGAAATACCTACGTGACAGGAACAGTTGCCCTGCCACAAGGAAACGGCTGTCATTTAGCGTGCTATGCAGCTGCAGAGCCTTAACAATAGGTGATTTTTACTTATTCATAGTCTCTTTCAACATACAAATGCAACAATCGCTGTGGGCCACCACCGTGAGCTGGTGAAAGGGTTCTGTTTCCTCCTGTTGTGGAAAACACCAAAAATTTCAGCTCACGATATGTAACGCAGTGGATTTCCAACTGCGATTCGTCGGCGCCCTTCTCATTCGTGAATCCCCAATAGGCGCTTAGCCACCGCGGCGCATTTCGTGCGGCCTAACCGTGAAAAATAATTCCTAACAGCACAGCGAAAGACCCACTTCCAGTACCTGACCTTGCATGCCCGGAGCCTTGATCTGACCAGACTACGCGTAGCATGAGCCGCTAGTCATGTCTCCGGCTCTGAACGGGTTGTGATCCAATAAACCAGTCAATTAGAGCGGCCGAGTGAGGGCAGCACCTGCATCACAATGACCGGCACGTCACCGGCTGTGAGCACTGACCGGGTCGGCCCCAGGGACAAGAGGGGAGCCATCATCCCTGGGGCCGGCGAGTCCTGCAGAAATGCTGCACAACAATCGAAGGCTAACTAGAGTACGGTTCAGGTTCGTAGTTCTACAAAATGTACGTAGGGAGGGGCCAAGTACGGAAAACGGCTAAACCTACTCCCCATAGACAGTGAGACGGACTTGAATCCCATATCGGTCCAATCTTTATAAAAGGTGGAGAGCTTGAGTCCCTCTTCCCCCTCGACTGAACAGGAAACTACGCCGCTTAGGTAGGCCGTTTTCTCTATTGGATGAGTCAGCTCGATTTCAGTCACTCGCTTATTGGATGAGTCGGGTTGGTTTCTATCAGAAGTTATGGCGAATCCGAACACACTGGTAACAATCAAATAATAGAGCTGCGTACTCCAACCTCAGTTGTGCGTCAAACAATTCCTAGGACTATAGCTCTTCGGAAAGGAGCGCGAGCTTGTTACCGCGCTGGCATTGGTTTTGATTTTTCAATCACGGATAGCAGCGCAGACTGCATCAACTCTGAGTCAGACTGCTTCATTTCGAACAATGGACATCTGCTCCCTCTCAGGCGTTGCGTGAGACCGCTCCTTTCAGCCGGCGGATCAGCCTGTCCTCAGCCGGCGGACCAGCCCGTCCTCAGCCGGCGGACCAGCCTGTCCTCAGCCGGCGGATCAGCCTGTCCTCAGCCGGCGGACCGGCCTGTCCCTTCATCTGGCGGACCAGCCTGTCCTCAGCCGGCCGATCAGCCTGTCCTCAGCCGGCGGACCGGCCTGTCCCTTCATCTGGCGGACCAGCCTGTCCTCAACCGGCGGATCAGCCTGTCCCTCAGCCGGCGGACCAGCCTGTCCCTTCATCTGGCGGACCAGCCTGTCCCTCAGCCGGCGGACCGGCCTGTCCTCAGCCGGCGGACCAGCGTGTCCCTTCATCTGGCGGACCAGCCTGTCCCTCAGCCGGCGGACCGGCCTGTCCCTCAGCCGGCGGACCAGCCTGTCCCTCAGCCGGCAGACTGGCCTACCCTTCAGCCGGTGGACCAGCCTGCTCCTCTCAGACAGTAGGTCAGACCTCGGGCGTCGGTGGCTGAACGGTGACGTCACAGGCCGAATCAATACGGCGCTCTCCCGACTCCGGCGGCGCCGCGCGCGGCGGGCCGGCGCCTCGGGCGGGGGCGGCCCAACAGCGGCCGCGGCGCGCCCGGCTCAAGCCGCCGCTCACTAATTGGATGTCCCAGCCGCTGACGCTAGTCACGGCCGCAGTAATGCCGCGCACGAGATGCTGCAGCTGCTGGCTGTCGTCCGGTGCATGTGCGCTCAAAAATGGATTAAGGGTTAGGCCTCATGAAGGTCAAGTGATCAGGGTTCGTAAAGGTGATGCCGTTATACAGAGGTGGGAGGTCTAGGAAAACTTTCGAACATGCTAATGCTCACCCAGTATGCTCACAAGGTCAGCATTAACACATGACTTGGGTGAACCAATTCCAGGCTCATTTTCCGCAAGTCAGCAAAGACCCATTTGGATCCCGAGAGGCTCGTCTTCACCAGCATTTTAGAATGGTTTGATCACATGCTATGTTGACTGTTACAAGTTTGATACAATTCTAGAAAAGAGAGCTTGCTGTTGAGGCTGGAACAAAATAAAGACACGAAAACCACCTGACGAGACGGTCTAACAGATGACAGTCACTTACAAAGGCGACACTTTTGACTTGTCTTCAGTTTGACAGAAATGAACGCATCATAAAAAACGTCATTCAACGTAATGGAAATGTTTGGCATCATGATAACAAAAACTAACCGCATTTGGTAAATTGAGAATACAATGTCAACGTCGCCGAACATCATAACCAAGCGAACTAAGGTCAGGCCTTCAGCAAAATTCAGTTCATGCTGACCTTAAAAAAATGCAAGCAGAATCACATCGTGATGTGATATCACTGTCCGTCCCAATATCTTAAATGGTAAGAGCGCAAACCTTGCGATCCGCCCACCCGTGGCGGGGTGGGTTCGAGTCGCTTTAGGTGCCTTTGGCGGCGGCCGCGCTAAAGGTCGGATGACGTCAGAAGGTGGGACGGACCGTACCGAGCATTGCGGTGCGCCAAGCTTCCACCACCAAATTCTGCCGTTGACCTGAAATTTTGCGATCGGATAGTAGGGGCCAGAACCCACACAAGTACTGCTTAGCGTAAGCTCTGATCCCAAAAATCCTTCGACTCAAATGGTTCGGATTAAATCTAAAACAAGGTTTTTACTCATGACGCTATCCTTCGAGTGTTAATCAATCACATTCCGCACACCGTGTTCCTCATGTTCCGCCGACATTTCGACGGCCCATTCATCTACATAATGAACGACCGATTCAAAATGGTGCAATAATTCAACGCAGGCGTTCCCAGCCGGCGCTTTTGCGCACACGCTCGGTTTTCCGTACGTAAGGTGTTAATTGCCTTTGTGAGGAACAATATGCGCGTAGATAGACAGTACCAATAGCTTTATTCCTCGTAGCATAACCAGGAGAATGGAAAGAAAGATGGATTCATGTTTCGGCTACATGCCTTTATCGAAACAAGTATCAGTGTCCGATGAGTCCCCAAGGCAGGCGCCAGTCCAAGGAAGACACCAGCCAAGGAGTGTCCGGGGCGGACTTTACAGTCGTCCGACGCTCAGGGCTTTCGAGCCGTGAGTCAGTAGTCAGGTTGGTGTTGGCACGGGAACTTGCAAACCGGCACGAGGGGGTGCGCAGGCCTCTAAAGAAACGCTGCCTTCCAGCGGAAGCTCACTTGCAAGAGTCACAGCGTGCAGATCGGGCGTCGCTGGGCGGCCATTTTCGCCTGCGATTGCTGCAAGTCACGACAGGGCTACACCATTGGTGAGCAGCGGCTCGTAATGCCGCTGCCGTCCGTGGCGAACACTGGCGGCGGGAGTGCTGCACGCCTCGTAACGGCTTCTGGTGAACTGGCTCGACTAGGCGCTGCGGTCGTCATGGCAACGGGCAGCCGTCACGGACGTGGCGAGGGCATTCACTGCCTCAGGGAACTGTTGACCCAAGCGTTGTCAACGCCCAGTGCCCTGTCTTAACTTAATCTGGTTGTGCCAGAGCCAGTGAGTGAAGGTTTGTCCTGTTTTGTGGAACGGTGCAATGGATTATGCTCAAAGTAGCTGAGGGTAAAATGCAAACTTCCCTACACCTTCCTTACCAGACTATTACGGCACTCAGTCTGCTCTGGATGCTAAATGTGCGTGATCGACGTTCGAGTAGCCAGTAAGCTAAAGCTAGGATTATTTTTCGGTCTCGGGAGATGTTACGGATGTGGTGAGTATCGGTCTTTGGCTGAGTCACTATTAGAGCTAAAGCGAACACCACTGCGTTGATAGGGTAAAGCCACACTTCCCCGTTACCGTATATGATGATAGTCGGTGAAATCCTCATCAGGAGACTCAAACACACTGAAACGCGTCCCAATCTTACATCACACACCTCTTAGATCAAAGACACAGCTGAACTGCGCACATCTCACACACTTGTGTTGAATGGGAAACGCATCGCTTGTCAGCTAACCGATCACTTCCTAAGTGAATTTCATTTCATTCAGCAACGTTCAAACGCGCCTCATTTCATAAAATCAACCACAGATAACGCAATTACATACAACATGCTACCTGTCAGAAAGCAAGATTATACAAATAATGTTCCAAAGGCTCGTTGATGTCCAATGCAATGAAACACGCACAATCTGTAAAATGGTCCACACACAATCCCAACGTGAAAACGTGCGTTCCGTGAGGCCTACAAGACGCTCCGTCTCGCTCGACCTCTGTTGCTGCGCCCGCAGCCGACGCCTCCGTCCACTTACGCTCCTCTCCTCTCGACGATGTCCTTGTTTCCGGGGTCGAGCCAGACCATGCCGACCGGGTCGCGGCCCTTGCAGCTGACGAACAACGCTTTGCCGTCGAACACCACGTGCTCCCGCCGGCTGGGTGACAGCTGGAGCTGCCCGGCGACCACGTGATCTGCAACGAAGGGCCGGCTCGTGAGGGCCGCAAGCCGAGAGTTCTGAGAATCTCGGCCCATCTGCCGGGACAGGGCGAATCGGCTTCCGGTGAGCCTAAGCTGTCCTATGTAGAGGTGGACTGAGGCGGATGCATAGCATTACGTGCTGAAAGCTGACCGGCCCCTCCCCCTCAAATGCTCCCTCGTTAATGACTGTTAATTTTCCCAGTAGTGGGTAAAATTTAACACTTAACCCGTGGTGATACTGAAGTGTCGGGAGTAGCGAACCCAATGCGCTCGGCACTCGAACCCAATGCTATCGGGCTGCTTACTGCGCCAATGCATGTAATATGTAGCTGCACATCAGGGTTCATTGGCCCTGTGCACTTAATACTAGCAAGCTAAACGTCGCTGCAAATTGCGATGGGTTGCATTCGTTACCTTGTGATTGTTCGCAAGCCCAAGGTCTACACGTGCACGCCCGTGATTTGCCCAGCTCGCGACAAGGCGTTGCTGGGGAGGACAAAATGGATATCGCGATGTGTTTTTATGTAAAATGGTTGCCAAGTGCGACCTGCCTGCTTCGACATCGGTAAACCCCTAAAGCCTTCTGGGTATGTGCGTGTAGCTAGTGTAACACGAACACTGTGGAACACGAACACTGATCTCAAATCAGAAGAAGACTGCTTGATTGTGCGTCGCGCTCGAACCACGTCGCACAAGCTTGTTGACACTAGTTGATGCTTACTATCCTATCGGTGGCAAAGCGAAGAACATGTGTGGTTTTACCGACATTCTAAGTGAGGTTTATGCATTCGGCCCGCACGAACTCACCCCAAACATATTCCATCGCTCAGATTCCATGATTTGAAGCTGCCCCTCCCCGTCCCCGCGCCGCGTTTGGACCAGCGTGTGGTCAACCAGTCTGGCTGGAGTCTCGTTGACACCATTTCCGTCCAGCCGTGCCCCACCCCCACCCCGATCTCCCAGGTGGTCGCCATCTGAGCTCCGCGGAGGTGCGGGGAGGGGGGGGGGGGGCACCGCGGCAGGGTTTGTTTACGAACTGCGGTCAGTCCTCCCAGGTGCACCAGAGACACCCTGCGTGAAGACTGGAGCACGTGGCGAAGGGTGATGCCGAACAGGCCAGCGATCAGGACCGGAATGCATTGCAATCACCAGATTTTAGACCACTCGATAGGAAAAGCGTTCTGACTATGAACCCGGAGCATGTAAAGCTACTGACGGTGACAGCTGGCTACAATACATGCAGTAGGGGCTGTTACGTCGTCACTGAGGCTCTCATTTGGCGTGGGGACGCACATCACAGGCGGATCTAGTGCCAATACTCCGCAGATAAACCATCACGCCTCCAATTCGCTACCGCAGCGTTTCGTCGTGCTGAGTGGAATCGGCCTCGCACCCGCCCGTTCGGGGAGCGGATAGACAGCACTCGATCGCCTCAGATGCGTCGATTCGGACGTCGAAGCGGGCGTCATGCCCTGGTGAGTTTCAGAAGCACCCGGGCGGAGTCATCTCGACCGTCATCCGCAGGCGATTGAGCGCCGGCCGGCTCAGCTAGCCTCTTTGTTCGCCGCCGTGTTTAGCTGAGGAGGTCTGTTTGCCTGCCAGCACGCGGGTCGATCATCCGCGCGGGTAATCAGAGTCGGATCGCGCTGAAAGACGGTTTACGTAGGTGACATCAGCCGCCGGGGCGCGGCAGGCGTCCAAAAGCAGCGCTGAAGATGGGCCACTGGGCCATCTTTTCTACGTCATTCGTTTATTTTGATGCCTTGTCATAATCGCCGAACCAAGCCTGTTTTCAACATGCAGAGCCAGGCGAAACACTACTGGTGCAATCTTTTCACGCACATGAAAGTATCTTGGTGATTGCTGGATGGCCCGAACCTCCAATAACGACCTGGGACCAACAGCGGAAGGGCCAGAGCCTCTTTAGGGAGGCCCTGCCCACGGCTCCACCCATCGACCCATGACGGATCGAGCGTGCAGCGTCGTCCGAGCTGCCCATCTAGGGGTCACTTGATGGCGGGGACGTAGCCACGTGATCGCCACCGGCGTCTCTGAAGCAGTCCGAGGCGCCGGCCGTCGTTTTTGGCACGCCCCGAATGCGGCGCGCGCCTGAGGTCAAAGGCGAATCGACCGCGGACCTGTGTGGGTAGGGTGGGGGTGGGGATGGGGGTGGAGGCTGACGAAAGAAGTGTACGGGGACAGCGGGTTCCATTGGATGAAGAGCCCCAATTCCGTCTCAAAATTGGCACCATGCTTGAACGATAAAATGCGTCTAGAAACGCCATACGTTGGGTACCAAAACTCGGTGATGACTAACGTATAAAATTGGCCAAGCACTTAATAATGGTGAAAGGAGGGGATGATGTCATAAGACCAGCTTAAAAAGACCAGCTTAAAAAGAACAGCTCAAACAGATCAGCTTAAACAAATATTCAGACTGGCGTTGATGATCATAAAAATCTTGAATTTCAGTCTAAGTTACGCAGGGGTGCTCAATACGTAACCCAATGTCATTAATGCTGAATCAAGTCAATGGTAGCATCTTGCGGTTTATGCAGTCCGTGAACTCGGATTACGTTCTTGTCAGTTCCCCTAGAGCCGATTGACGAGAAGCATCGTTTGGCTGAAGAGACGCCAAAAAGGTCTTTTCATTGTTCCATCACATATAGGGATTGAAATCCCACTTTGGTCAAGATCACTGACGTCATGATCATTCATGGACAACAATCTGACGCAGGTAGTAGACGAACGGCCACATACACCCAAACCATAATGCATCCGACTTTATGCCTCATGATCAATGAACGATCCATGATTGGTTACCGCAGCTGTGCTTGGCTAGATAATAACACGGACGAAGGCCTGGACTTGTGCTTACCCTGGGCGGCGTTTCAACGTTGTGGTATAAACTACATTTTAAAAGCGTTAAGGTAAGATTATTTCCTTTCAACCGCTGTCTCTGGACCCGAATAGAAGCAATATCACAGCTCTATAAAAAGTATATATAGAGACACCCCGATGCTCAGAATGGCTTGCATTGAAATCGTCTGAGATGGAATGCATTCAGCCTTGGGGCCTTGATCTTAAACCGAGTTTTCAGCAAAACTGCAGCAGCAGTGCCACAGACTGAAATGAGAATAAACTAAATTCGTTGTGGTTTGGGATAGGATATTATGCCTAAGGGAACAGTCAACACTCGAGCAAAGACACTAATAATACATTTTCAGCCTGAAATTGCGCTCATTATCTTCCCCTACTGCAGCTATCGCCCATTATGTGGCACTTCATTTACTTCGCCTTAATTGGTCTCGACTGAAAGTTCCAAGATGAAAATGACGTGGAGGCGGGGATATGCGCGAGCTAATCACCGCGCTGGCACTGGGCACCCTACTTCCGGTCTGCGAGGTCGAAAGTGACGTCAGCTGCATCTAAAGAAAGCTGCAGTGATAATCACGATTCGTGAACGGAACGATCTGTCACTGGTCCAACCGGCCTCACAATGGCTTGTTCGAATTCGACGAACATCCTTGCTTTCCAGCTGATTTCATTTCTTCTTTCATCTTTCAAATAATCACAATCTCATGGCAGTTATCAAAGGCAAAGACGTACTTCTTATCGCACCCTTACTTGCAAAGAGCCTCCAGATATAATAAACCGCTTCTAAATAATTGTGTGCCCGGGAGCACTGGCGTATCCAAGGAGGATTCCACCGTTTTTCCCAAGGATTTCTAACATTCCAGCATTTATGCACTCCAGATTCCAGCACATAGAACTCATTTTATAAACGTACGCCAGAATTCTTCATCGTGTTACGCATCTTCAAATTGGTGCAATAGTCACCGCTGTTGGTAAAGAGTAAGCTTCCCCGCGCCTCTCGACTGTCCACTGCAGCATGTCTTCGAGCACCCAGCCAGACCAGGCTGGCCGCGCTTTCCATCAGTGAACGTTCGCCCCTCTCTGGGCGGTCACTCCATCGGCTCCGCCTGGAGAAGCCGAAGCCGAGGGTCACCAGGGGTCTTCGTCCGTAATCCTCACCGGGCGCACAGCAGGGAGTCCTTGGCCGAATCGACCAGTTTAGTAGGCCGCGGATCAGCAAAGCCGGACGGTTTGTGCAAAAGTTCACGGCGTTTGGTCTGAATATAGATGACGTATTTCACGACCAACCGAATCCGCTTAAGTCACGGACTTCACCCGTGTCCAAATTTTGCCATTTAACGAGTTTGTCGCATGCGCCAGCAAAACGAGGACCGCAGCATGAGACTCTGGGTTCCACCATCGCCCGTGGCGCCGTGGTTTTATCCTTTGCGCGGGACAGGCTCGTTTAAGCTATGAATGCAATATGCGCGAGTGACATGTTGATGCTGTTAATGATTGCGATCAACACACAACTTCGCGCTTCCCGTGGCACATAGCATGTTTTTCCGACAATAAAGGGTTCTGGTGGATAGCTAGCATCAAGCAAATCTCACATGCATATACTTCAAATGATATCGTTAAACAGCACAACAGAAGGCTAGTCACAGGTGCCCATGCTGCCCATCATCTGAAGTCAACCCATACCATGCATGTTTTAAGGAAACGGTACCATCCTGGCATTCAAGCGGATCTCGGATACGTGCGCTACACTTGGCCGAAGTTAACTAACTTACAAGCTTCAGTTTGACCTGGACGAAGAGCATTAGCAACATGTTCATCCGTACTCTTCGGCAAATCGCAATTTATTCTCATTTTCGGGCAATATCAGCTGTGTTAAAAAGCACATTTTCCACGCCCCAGTATGCTCATTAACACATGTTGGAACACAACAAAGTGACGCCAACTGATCCCGCAGATGCGTACTCTTCCACGCCCCCCCCCCCCCCCCCCAGTGATTGCTGTACCCAGTAACCGCTTGTTTGTGCTACATCAGCTGTATGGGGACGGACCGGCTTGGTAGCACGACTCGGACGGCGGATGATCTGATTGGTTAACACCGCTACTACGAACAAACCTG